CATTTCAAGCGCCACTTGCACGTATTTTACTGAGAAAAACCCAGTGCAATTGTGAAACGATGATCTTTGATGCGAGTGACATATTCTCTTTTGTCGTCGTCCAAAACAAAACGTCTACTGTTACAACTATAGCAAGGATGTAACTGAACTGTAGCCAAGACCAGATACTAATCCTGGGTTTGGTTGTCAATAAGGAGTTCAATGAGAGAATAGTTTCCGATATTTGGATTTTCAAGCGCATTCCAGTCTGCCGTCTGTTCATGGAGCGATTGTGATCTAGCAGTGTAGGCGGTGAGCGACCCCCCCCCCCCCCCCNCACCATCTTTGCTCCCATTTGTCAATCGGCATTCTTTTCGCCGCCAAACGTTACTCAGTTCCTGTATTAAGAATAAAATGAATTAAAAAGTTTTAATAATATTATTATTACTGTTATTATCGATGGCCTAGCCGACTACTCCCAAGGCTGCTGCACGACTGATTTCTGACAATGCTCGCATTTGAACTCCGGTTCGTGTGGAGTACGTTGTGCTTCGAAAATCGTAACTACACGTGATGAAACGTTTTGTACAATGCATTTTTGTGACGTATATTGCGTGTGAACAGACCAGCGTCGAACGACGCAAGCAGTGACTGATTCTATTTTGGGTCGGTATTCCGATTCAATTCTCGCGGGGTCGGACGAGCCTAGTGGAGTGTGGATAAATGCAGCTGCATCCAACGTTCCTATTCCGATCGAACCAGTGCACCTAACACATCTAACACAACAACGGATGTTACATCGAAAATACGAAAGGAAGAAATAAATATTTTCACTTTTGTTTATTCCTTGTCAAATCGGTGCTTTTAGGGCACCCCTTTTGGTCTCTTCTGCTTTTCTGACAGGCCAAAAACGTCCCCCCACTCAGTTCTCATGATTTCTGATCACAGTGCGGTCACCATAGCAATAATCGATTACCCCGTAAAATACAACCACATCCTGAGTTATTCGTAGCTTCGTTTTTGAACTGTCGGAATTCTATTCAATTTAGTTTTCGCCGAGATCATTGATATGCATCCATATATACCATGCCGCTCGCTCTTGTCCTTGTTGTGCACAGGGTCTGGCTGAAAATGAGGATATTGTTCAATTCTATCATGCATTGGCCAGAAGTCTGAATCCGATCAATGCGGCTGGTTACATCTACTCATACATGGAACGCACTTCGATCAACTTGGTCCGTCCCCTGGGACCACCTATGCCCGGCAACGAGGCGGAGACCAACACTGCCGGTTCCGCGCCGACTGTGATCGAGACAGACGTGTGCTTGGTGACCGGGGATCGAGCGACCGATTTGTCTAGAGCTCTGGCCGAAATGAACGGACAAATGGATCCTAAACGGACACAATTTCTTATGGTGAGTCTGTTCGCGTCTGTCCGCATCGGTTTTCGCTCGGAACTTAGTCAGGGAACTCGATCATTTGAAACTGTTTGCTATCTTTCACTTCCGGGATGTCATCGGCACTCATAAAATTGACGGTACGCCAGTAACTGTTATTGACAAGTTAATACAAGTGTTGACCTAATGGGTCACAATGATCCACGTAGAATGGCGCATAAAAAACGACAAGAGATTTGTCCGTCAACACTCAGGTTCCTTCCACAAGACCGATATCAAACGTGCAGATCTCAAACTGAGGCTCTCCTGGTTCAACAACTGTGTATATATAAAATAGGAAGTAGAAAAATAGTCACGGCTGAGTGTGATAATTGAGAGCAAATTAGTGGAGTAAACCGGCTAATGGTGTCAAAGATGTGCAAAAGGTATCGGAAACAGAGTCCTAAGCACTGATCGATTAAACGAGTGAAATCAAAAACGCTCAGATAATATAAAGAAAGAACAGGACAGAAGTGCGAGCTTGTGTGTGAACAGTGTTCTGAAGCCAAGATCAATAGGTCACGTTGGGACATTGTGGATTTGACAAAAAAGTGTCTCTAGATCAACCAAATTAAATCGGAGAATAATACCAATCTGTTCAGGATTCCTGTCTTTGTGAAAATCTGACTGTAACGTAGATTGACTCTCGAGTGTATGGTGGACTAGATTAACTGTGGATTGTACGCTAAGGTGAAGCCTGAAGAATGGTCTGTCCAAATTGAAATAAACGTACGGAATAAATTTAATGCTCGTGATTTTGTTATTCGTAACTCCAAGTTCGTTAATTTTTTTGGTGTAAATTATCAGTGGCATGCTTGTGATGGAAATTGTGTCATGATTGACATAGAGTAATTGCCAGTTGTTCTGTCCTTGTTTTGGACCCGCCGGTTACGGGTACCGTTTCGGTCTAATAAGATTTCTGTCTTCATGAGTGATTGTTTTCGCAATATCCCTCATTTTTGTTACAAATCGCAATGGAATGAACCCACTTATCCCTAGAACCTATTATTCTGTTGCCCATCGACTTGAGGTTGTAATTACCCGATGTGGTAGTTGGCTAATTATTTACACCTAGCGGATCTCCACCTTACCGGGCGCGTCTCCAGGTCACGGATGAGAGAATGGCCACTTGAGTGGATAATCGCGAAGTAGCATTACTTCACTGAATAACCGGTAACGACCGACCAGCGACTTGATAAGTTTTTGCCTGAAAACCGGCTTCTGCAGTAGAAAGCCACANGTACTCTACGGTCATCCGAAATAGAGTTTTGTCTCTTAGTGTGCCGTTTTGTTGGCAATTCCAATAAGCACTCACAGCGTTGCTGCGGCTTCTCTCGTAACAGGTGTATGATGTTAGGATTCCAACTCTGAAAGAAAAGGCGTGCTTGTGTGTGTATGGTTTTACTCTCTCTCTCTCTCTCTCTCTCTCTCTCTCTCTCTCTCTCTCTCCTCTCTGGTGTTTAGTCCGATCGAATCTCTGTTTTACCGATTAGTTGTTGTCCTTTCAATTGACCGCTGTCCTTATGGNTGACCATAGAGGTTCACTTTCTTTTCCTATCTTCAACTAGGCTTCATTCCTCTCCATCTTGTGCTTTATCACTTGATTTGTTTACATTGTGAGCTTGGCAGCGGTCATTGAAGTTCGCTTCACTGTATCTCGCTGTACGATGATGAAGAATCGTTTGGCAGGACCGTGCACCTAGGCACTCCCACAAACAGACCATGGTTATCAATTTTCAGTGAATTTTACAAACCTCGGTAGGTTTGCAGCAGTGGATATCCGTATCTCAGGTTGAGAGTAAGCGTAGTACTAGCGCTCTACGAAGCGATCGCATCACCGAAGCGCGTTACATGTGTTGGTTTCTTGGGATTCGCAGCTGACATTCTAATCATGGAATGCATTTGTTGAGACATCCACCCTAGAAACCAGCGACATTTTATTATTAGAGAACAATTCGGAGCCGTTATCGGTCGGGAATCATAATTCGTAGTTACCGAAATAAAGAATGGCCTAGTTCAATAGAATTTCAATGTGATTGGACGTTTCGTGTTGTCAGACTGTTGTCAGAATGTGTGAACCCCTTCCGAAGTGCTGGTCAGATGAGATGGTTCACAAACGTTTAGCAGCATCCGCTCATGATTCAGAACCTTCGATGATAAATCTTTGCCAAGACTTGTTCCAATTAGATCCGTTCTCCGGCTCAATTCCACAAGCTCACTGCGGTCACAATATAAAGAAACCCATTTAACTGATCTGATTTAACCGCTACCATGTCTGAGCAGCCTGTGAGATCCTTAGCATGCTTCGTTTACGCATACACATGCATCATGATTTTTTTTGTGATGATTGTATGATCTTATCCCCACACAGATTCCGGATTGTACAGGCATGGTGATGGAAGAGAACCCGGATAGACTGTCAGTGAACTTTCTGCATTTCCTACGTAGTATTGGTTTGCGTAAGTTTTTTGTCCGGCACGCTTTGTCCGTGTTTCTTTTTGGGTGTTTTCACCGCTTTCATCTGTCGGGACGACTGCCCTCACATTCGAAATGGCGTGTTCAATTTTTTCTCTTCTTTCCTGTCTTTGCTTTAAGCGTTCCTTATTTTTCCGTTCTTTCACCATGCTTCCACGGTCAAGTTGTTTGCGAGTTTTTCCTACTTTTGTTAATGATGCTCATACTTGTTTGGTGAACAGCTGACGGCGCAAACCCGACAGTCACGAAGACCTGATATTCATTCTTGGAAACCGGCCATTTAGTATCGAGACTTGGAGCGGTGGATCACGTAACCCCCCCGGCCCACTAAGTTGTGTGTGTTCTTGACTCGGATGGCAACGGAGCTGCCCACCAGCAAAGTTAGGTGACAGTGGCGGGGTAAACTTTATGGAGCGCCGGTAATGGACCTGAATCGTTTGTAAGCGGCTATCAACATGGTTTCATACGTTTTACAAAAAAATGAATGTGAGGTCACCTCCCATCAAGTGCGGTGGGGCTGAGATGTAAACCAATAGAAATAAAGTGGTTTTTATTCGTCCAGCAGCGGTATCGATGATCCGTCACATACGGAATCTGGTGTGTATAGACAAGTCGAATCAATCTGATCCGCGTCCCAGTGATCGGTCAGTGGGAAGTACACTTGTGTGGTAGGGCTGGTTCTGGGTTGAGGAAATATGCCTCGTCCCTCTGTTAGTATCCATTATGCGATGTTTATCTAAATTTCAGTTTAGATCCATTTGACCCTGTCCACCATGAATTCTATCTCCCAATCAAATTCAATTTTGCATCACTGATCTCTCGCACGACCCACGAGTGCGTGCTGTAAAGGCATAAAAATGCAGTCAGAAGCATTCCTTCTTATCTACATCACATAACTAGACGTCCAACGTGAGGTCAAAGCAGTTTTCACTAGGACCTACAGTCCGGTCATGGGAATAGGTGACTTGGATTTTCTAGTGGTAAACCACAGGTTTCCAATGGGGGATAGCTGTCTGTTTCAGTCGGGCAGCAGTGAAGATCTGGGTTTTTACCTTCTTGTAATCATTGTTACCGATATCCTTTGGGTGGCTTCCTTTAACCTGCACTTACCTCTCGTGGTTATCAGCTGGAGATGTTTGAGGGCTTTATAATCACATCTGGAAG